GCCGCGCGGCCCCCCGAGCGCCGCGCCGCGGCACGTGCAGCCGCTGCTCGGCCCCGCGGGCTTGGACCATGCTCAAGATCCTCACCAAAAAGCTCAGGAACCAGAGTTTGAATGAAATCCAGCCGTTCCAGCTCAAGGTAAGGGCGCTCCGGTCTGCCCTGGCCGTTTTCTTTTGCTCCCTTCAGGTAATGAAGAACGGGGGTAGTGAAAGGCATCAACTTCCCAGTGCGCCGGGCCGGCTTCCTCCCGAGCCKCCCGCCTAGGCAACTGACCTGCCCAGGGCTCCACTTTATTAAAGTCCCGAGCCTTTGCACTGAGAGTTATCCTGCACAGTTCAGTAGGTGACACAGAGAGATGAGGAAAGACATACATGTCTGGAGTTTTTTTAGTCGAGAAATATTTATTTTTGAGATTTGCATTTAGCTACACAGACATATGCCTGTATCTCTAGTTGTCTGTGTTTGTAATCTGTAGTCCCATAAGACCTCAGCAGGCTGGAACCGCACTGTGCTAGGCACTGTACACAAACAGTTTGCCTTAAATGCCTTGCTGCTTGTTATTTGCATTTCTCTCTCCCCTGGTTCCCAAGGCTGGGATTTCAGCTGCAGTTTGCAGCCTGGCTCACCACGTTGACCTGTGACTTTTCTAACTTTCCCTGGGTCCTTGTAGAGTTTTTGAAAGGAATTCTAAGATCACAACTTTGGGAAAAGGAATAGCCTGGCTGTTCCTGCCCAATACAAGGAAGAAATTCTGAACCATATGGAATGGGATAAAAATGGAGTCACGGTGAGGTAGTTAGAAAAAGTGCCAGCTTCTGCTCCAGTGAAAGACTCCCGTGAATCCGGAGGTACCAGCGCAGATCTGCAAGTTGCTCAGGACGGACATCGGTGCCGCTGGACGCGCGGCGCCTGGCTCCCAATCACAGAAGGGCCATGGGAAAAGTAGCAGCCCTCATTGCTTGGAATGGGGGCTGGGGATCCACATTCTCGACTCTAGTGGAGTCCTTTGTATGTGTTACTCAGGCAGACTGCAGTGCCTGCACAGCCGCTCGGGCCAGGCTGATGGCAACTTTGTCAGAAACGGCACTGGTATTTCCTCTAAGTGCCTTTTTTATGTGTGTATGTGTGTGTGTCCATACACTTCTGTCTGCAAGGACTGCAGATGCTGTGGTTTTTAAGGGAGAGAGGATTAGATTTCTTTGGAAATAAAGTAAGGGCACTGCTTTATGTTGTGGTGGAAGGACTCAGTGCAGAATATCTCTGTGCAGAGGCAGCGGGAGGGGGAGTCACCTCCTCCATATTTAATGTTTTTCTTTTGGAACCTCAAGTTATGGAACCATGTGTTTCATAAAGAAATCTCAGGGGGATAGTTGCAACCTCTAAGACACCTTGGAGGCACACAATAAAAATGTTAGGAGTGGGTTATTTGTACCCATTTTGTTCACGTTAGTGCCAGGGTTTTGTGTTGCACACAGGTGGGGTGCCTGTCTCCAGTCTCAGCAGAGAAGACAGACTGAAGTTTGCAGTGTTGCTTGCAGCTGGGATGTAGAGACCCTCAGCGGTCCCCACCGCTGCAGCCTGCCGTGGGCAGTGGTACAAAGACTGGTATACATGGGTATGGGCAGAAAGCCAGGCTTGCAAACTCTGGATTTGCATGTGTTTTGTAGGCCATTGGGGACCATGGAGGGCTGCCTTGGCTTCCTCCACCTTGTGCCAGGGTATTAATCACTCATAGAGTGTGCAGGGCTCTCTTAAAAGTGTAGGGCAGAACTCTCAGCAGGTGTGGGCACGGGGCAGATACCCCTAGGAGTGAGGAAGGTGGCAGCTCCCGAGGGTGGGACTAGACAGGATGGCGTGACAGGTCCTGGCTGCTGGTGCAATCTGTCCTCGCTGCCTTCAGATGCTTGTGGAACAGCTAGATGGAAACTGGACTTTGATGTTGTCAGCTTCCTCACAGTCTGTCTGTGACCCATGAAGGTGTGTACCTATTCTGGCATGCGTTATTTAATAGGCCTGCTCTTGCTGGCCTTGAACCTACTGAGAAGAACCTACTGAGAACCTACATGTGGGTGTAAAATCAGATTTCTAGTAGTATCAGTGGAGAATGAGGGGCAAATTTTGAAAGAGTAGAAATGGATCTCCATGCACAACGCAAGGCAGGAACTTTCTGAGCTTGAAAAAACAGTGTGCTTAGTGGCTTTTCACTTTCAATACTTTTGCTCTTGAACTTTATGACCTTTCTTAGACGTCTCTAAATTCAAGGGAAAACAAGCTGCTCTTGTGTTTCCAGTTCCCAACAGGACAGCAGTCAGGCAAAGTCCTGGGACACTGTCCATGAGTAAATTTTCAACTAATTTTTTTACAAAGTTGGGGAATTTCACTGGCCTTGGATTTTCATCTAAGCTTTAGAAATGTTTTTAAGATGAAATTTCTGTCCACAGTGAAGATATTTTTTGGTACCATCTGTCCCAAATTGGTGTAGTGTGGCTGTGGTGGATCTTTCAAGTCTTTCCCAACTTGGTAAAGTGAAGAGGCTGCCGTTGCCTCATGTAAAAGAATTGAGGAGTTAACACATGCTTTGAGTGCTGAGGTAGCTTTTTTGTACATGTGCTCTTCTTTTGTTTGATTCTGTTCTTTTTATTAATGTTAGTCTGCGGGCAGCTGACCACTATCCGCTCAGTGGGCTTTGACTCAGAGGTCTGCTGGGTCATCCTAGTGTTGCTGGAGTTGTCCCTTTCCTGGTCTTTCCCCAGATGTTACCTTAGTGGGGAGGGCAGGACTGACTGGCTGCTGTGTTGGCTGCTGGGCTGTGAAGCGTGGCTGTCAGGGTTCCCGTTTGCTGTGGCCTGGGAGGACTGGTCCTGCTGCTCCAGCTGTCTCCTCGCTGGATGTTGCCACCTCTGTTGCAGGGGTGGGTCGATGGCYGCATGGCAGCTGTTGCAATCTACAGGCCAGCCCGTTGGCTTTGAGTCCTTCAGCTGCTGCAGCCTAATCCGAGGAAGGATTGTGAACTGGAGGCTTATGCTTCAGCCTGTTGTTCAGCCTCCTGCTTCAGGGCTCCAGTGTTGTTTGCTAGTGATTGAGCCAGATTCACAATTCCCTGCTTTTTGACTGCCCGTTGGAAACCAAGAGGCAAAAGCAGATCTGAATTTGTGGGTTAGGATTCATCTTTGATAACAGCTGATGATTGGGTCTGTTCCAGGGCAGACTTTGTGGGATGGAACAAAGGAATAAGAAAACGGGTTTGTGAACACTCCAGTGAAAAGCGTCGAATAAGGGAAGCAAGAGGCTTGCAACTCAAGGGCTGAGTTTTTATCTGGGCCTCCAGTATTGCAATGACTACACTATTTTTCTTTCTTTTCCCCATAATTTTGGATTGGTTAGCATTGAAATGTAAGTCAGATTGTACAAAGCACCCTTTAAAATATACATCCTGGAGTTGCTTGTGAATTTGAGACTAGAGGCTGAGTGTAGGTTTGAGGGCTCCAAAGAGAGGGCGAGTGCTCTCCCCGCAAATGAAGTGGCCTGTTCGCCCTCGCTGCGTGGGGAAACAGGCTTCTTGCACACAGGCATCTTCTGCGAATCCTTCCTCAACTCTTGTGCCCTTGCATAGTTGGGTAGTGGATATAGTGTAGGTGTGTGTTTTGTAAGCTGCGCTTGCAAGCAAGCTCCTTGGGGCAGGGAGCATCTGGTTGGAACAAGTCTGTGTGTTGCCAGTCAAACTAAGCCCTTAATTAGTGGCCCTGGGTGTTATCAGAATGAAACAGTTGAATTGCGATGTATAAAAATTAACTGGCTGGAACACGTAGCTGAAGAAAACTAAGTACTTTGAGGGTGGCAATTCCTTCCAGCTTCGCTGTTGACGCAAACAGCTTTGGAGGCAATGGAATTGATGCTTTAAACTACAGAAGAAGTTGTTAAATTACTTATGTACCTGAAATACTCCTTTTTGGCCTGGGCAGATGTCCTTAGGATAAGTTTTGTCATTTCCTTAATGCCAATCAATGTAACAGTCTTATGTGGAGTTTGTTTCGGCGATGGAGAACTGCATCTTTCTGCTGCTTAGTTCTAGACTTAGGGTTGCTTAAAAGGGAAGTAGAGACTGTTTTTATGAAGCCACCCTATCGCCTCTCCTCATGTATCCTCACAGCCTGTACACAGTACACACACAGCCACAGGGACCAGAAAATCACGTTAATTATTTTCTGCTGACACCTGAGTCAAGTATGAGATTCAGTTTGACAGGTGATGAGGAGTTGTCCCAGACCCGTGTGAAGAGGACTCAGTAATCTGTGCTTAGGGAACCTTGGGCTGGCAGCAGCGTCCGAGTCACTGGCCTGCTGGTGGCTGGCTGCTTTGCAGAGCCTGGGGTGTGGGCCTTAAAATTTGCCTTTTCCACTAGAAAAAGAGAAAATCCATGTCTTTATTACTGACACAGCCTGGTACATTTTCAAAGCTCTGCATAAGGACTCATGATTTTTGTGAATTAGGGCAGAAGTTTAATTTTGACTTTTCCTCTTTTTCTGTTTCGCTGGGTAGACCGCTTGTCATGTGCTTGGCCAGCCACTGATGTCCAGATTGACTGAATAAAGCTCTAAACAGTAAAAATGTGGCTTCTTTTTTACTCCCACAGTGTGTGAAAGTGTTTTCTTCATGTGCTTCTAACAGACTCGTCGAACGATCCATTCTTCAGGACTGTAGGGCTTGGTTTTAATTGGAACCTTTGTTGTCTTTAACTTGTAGAAATATTAGATGCTTTTGGTTCACCTTAATCTTATTTAAGGAGGAGGAAAGGGACTTGAATGTAGGTGCATGGGTGTGTTTTTATATATATATATATATATTTAATGCTTATTAATATGCTTTAAATTAGATGGATGGTAATTTGGACTAAAATGGTATTGCTAGAGGATGCCATGATAGATGTCACTGATGGAGTTAGTACAGCAAGAGGCAGTACTGCAATCTCCAGTCTTTGCACTTATTTTGACTCAGCTTCTAAGTTCTGAATGCTCAACATTTGTCATCTTTTCTGTGCGATAATCCGACACTTATGATCTCCGGGAATGACTTGTTTCAGAGTGTGTGACTTCAGACCAATAGCAAGTATTCCAAGCATGGCAAAAGGGGAATTTCTT